GTCTCAGCAAGCAACTATTTCCAGATTTGCTGTGGGCAGCTGCAGATTTAGAAAGCTGATAAAAAACCATGGGAAGGTAAACTGAGGTTTTGTTACCCGTGTGAACCCAAACAATCACATTGTTTCACAAATCAATGTAATTGTCACTCCAATTCCAGTTCCCAAGCTCTTACTGCAGTGGAATGGGTCTGGATCCCATTGCTGACATTTTGGAGATATTTGATATTTGTCCTGAAGCCCTCACTCTTGAAGTAATTCATTTAATATAAAATAATACTTTTCCTTTAAATATTAAAAAAAAAAAACCAAAAAAAAAAACAAACCAAAAAATAGTTTGAGAAGCTGGGTCAGTCTCAGGCTGCCTCATGAGTTTGTTGTCTGTCATGATTTTGGAATCCTTGGAGTCAGAAACAAGAAATTATCTCCTTCAGCAAGAGCCAAGTACCTCTCCCATTATCCAAATTGCAGACAAATCCTGACATTTGCTCAGTGGGGTGGGAGGATCACTCACCACGGCCTTTCCATCACTCCCCAACCCTGAATTGTGCTGTGGCATTTGAGAGCGAGTGAAAAATGACAATCCTGCTTCCTTTACTCTGGGGACTTGAAGGTGGTGGCTGCATGACAAGGGATATTCTGAGACAGGGACGAGGCTCCTGTGGCAGGTGACACACACGGGAGAGCCACGGGAGTGGCTCTCAAAGCAGAGCACAGCTAATCGACCTTCCCTCCTTTGTTTTTAGTATAAATGGTTTTTAATATTGATTCCTCCCCACCTTTGCTGTGTTTTCAGTCACTGGGACACATTTCAGGATTTGGGAATGGTGGAGAAATGTTAGCCTAGGGATGTCCATGGGATCTTTGTCATTAGCTGAATTACCAGCCCAGAGCAACAGTGCCTTTCCAGTCTGTGATTATGAAAAATGCCCCTTGTGATCAGCAAAAAAACCCTAAAAAAACCCTTGCCATGGAAATGTCATGTCTGTTTATCTTCATGGCTCAAATTCTCCCCACTCAATGGTTTAACTCACACACACACTTGTGCTCCATGACTCAAGGAGGGCAAGCATCCTTCCTCTCCCTGAGCTGGTATCCAGAGAAAGAGCTGGGGCTTTATTCTGGGGTTTTCGTCCACTTTTATATCTTTTTTTTCTCTCTCACTGAGAGAACACTGAAATATTAATGTGAGGAGTCTGTGTTGATGTGTGTTGCTACTCTGAGCCTTGTGACCCTCTGAGAGGTCATGTTGTGTCAACAGCAGAGACAGAAAAATGCACTTTATTTTTCTGGTTTATATGTAAGGAAAGTAGAGTGGTTCTCTTTGACTCCATTAAAAAAAAAAAAATTACCACAAAATAGTAAATAGAAACCATCTGCAGACAGGATTAGAGGATTCCCTTGACAGTGTTTGTGTCAGTTCACAAGACTAATTTACTCCTAGACCACAAACAGAGACACCCTCCAGCAGATCCTCTTTTTTGCTTTCTTAATCACAAGAATGATTGACAAATGCTAAAGCCCTTCCTCTCCCTTGCACAGTTTAGGATTTTTTCCCCTGTGGCCTCCTAGCTCAGACTTCCCCTTCTTATTTCTTCCAGCTTTGGAAAGCAACACCTACAAGTTGATCCACAGAAAACAGACCACAAGCAAAGCTCTGGAAACTTGTTCTCTTCTGAGAGTTTGTTAAGATTAATCATTAGACCCAGGCCAGGACCGTTTTTGCAACAACCCCAACCTTTTCTTCCATCAGTTCTGTGCATGTTTCACCTCAAAACAACCTCCAAGCACTGTCTTTTATCTTGCTGAAAGGAAACCTTTTGAAGAATTCCCAGAACAACATATAAATGTCTTCCAGTTACAGGACAAGGTCTGTTCTATCACTTGTAACATGAAAACTTTCCATCACTGGGGGCTTTCATTGATTTTTGGGCTCTTCCAGCTCTGAGTCTTTCTACATCTGTCTATCTATCTACATATATCCTATATCCCTTTCTAGAAATTGCAAGAGGAGAACAAAAAGCCAAAAATGCAGGTTGTGATGGGAATGCCAGAGCCCAACAAGCCCTGATTGTCCAGATGAAGCCACATCTGAGCCTCTCCCCACAAACCCCCTGCCCCGTGGCCCAGGAGCTGCTGATAAGCACAGGCTGTTCTCCGTAACCCTCTCTGAGAGATGCAGACAGCCTCAAAGCTGCTTTTTCCTGTCTCTGTTTTGTTATTTTGTGTTTGTCTGGTGGTCACTGAACTGTCAGTTGAAGCTGTCACTGATGTCAGCTCTGCTTGGTTCTGCTCACAGTAATGAAAGCCTGACTTCTACCAGTGGAAACCAAAGCTCTGACAACCTTGTGTGTTACAGAAGTTTTGAAAAGCAAATATAGGCCTCACTTATTTTCCTGCAACAGGATTATAATTTCCTGGTTTTTTCCACAAACTTCAAGCTAAGTGAGAAGAAGGTGTGTTGGATTATTGGGCTGAAGGATTTTGCACAGAAGCTTTGGAATGAAACTTAATCCAAGATACTAAGAGAAAAAAACCTTCCTTACACAGACTGCAACCGGTACCTTTACACTCCAGTTTCAATTAAAATAATTTCTTATATCAGGGATACTCCAGTTGTTTCTCCAGTTATTTTCAGTAGAATCAGCCAACATGGATATTGTGCCTTTCTTGATATCCTTCCATCCGTCTTGCCCTTCCCATACCTACACCTCAAAGGCTTCCACCCTGCTTTATGATACACTTCCGTAAACCTAGCATTTCTTGCTTGGATGCAGCTCTTGGCTGGTAGAGTGGACATTAATGGATGTGGAAATTTTGAAGGTGCTGTAGACCACAGTGAAATTAATCTAGGTTTGGGGAAGTTGTGCTGCATGGAATGATGAGCACAATTGTCTGAAGTGGTTTCTGTAGCAGTTTAAGAGAGTCTGTTTTGTGGGCAATCTGCATTGGGAGTGGTCTGGCTGATGGAATCATGGAATTATAGGCTTTTAGGTTGGAAAAGATCTCTTGGATCATTGAGTCCAGCCGTCCAAGTCCATCTATAAACAATGTCCCTGCATGGCACCTCCACATCAGTCAAATCCCTCCAGAACTGGTTGATGGGACCATGCTTTGGTCTGTCCCATGGCCACAGAGCTACAGAGCTGGTCAAGTTCTGGTTGCCCAGCCATGTATGCTATGAGCCTCCACCAGGATTTCAACAAGGAGGATTTTATACATCTGGAAAGTCAGACCCTGACAGGACCCCAAGACCCTGTCAGGATCACTTCCCTTCACTATCCCAACCGGGCCTGGCTTCAGGCCTGAAAGTGGTTGTGATCTTTTTGAAAGTGCCCTGCATCAAGATGAGTCCTTGGCTTTTTTGAGGACTTTTTTTAGTGCCATTCGTCTGTTTTTTGTCCTTAAACAAAAGCAGCAAATAGGTTTTGAAAGCCCTATAATATATGCTTTAAAAAGGCCCAGTAACTCCCCAAAAAAAGGGGAAAAAACCCTCCAGAGTTTCCTTACAAGAGATCAAAGGAGGATACATAGCCATTCTGGAGCCCAGAAGATTTCTTAAATCCAAAGCAAATTAATTAACAACAGCTCTATGTGGGCAATCACATTTGCAGATGAAAAGTGTGTTTAATGCATTCTCTCAAACCCTTTTTGAGTATGTTTCAGTCATCTTGGCAAGCAGCATTCCAACGTGCTGACATCCTGGCCAGCATGAGCCAGGCCCTGGAGGGCTTCTCCTTAGGAAACAGTTCCAATACAGCACTTCCCAGTATTGACCAAGTGGAAAAAATTCTGAATTTGGGGTTATTTTACATTAGCAACAAATTTTTGTGTGTCTTGATAAATCTTGGTAAAGCCAGTAGAGGTTAATTGAAAAAGAACAGTTATTTATTAAAGTTTTAAAAAATAGAATTAAAAAAAAAAATCTTTCTTTTCATGTTTAGGTAAGGCTGTTTTACCTTTTCTGTATTGTCCATACTGTTGTCATACTAACTAAAGCTTCCATAAAATCTTACTTTATTTTTCCTGTACAGCATAAGCCCTTTCCATAAAAAAAGCCCTGAAATCAAGCAAGTCACAGATTTTAGTTTCCATGTTTGAAAAACCTAATATTTAATGGCGGAGCCCAACTCAGTGTGATGAGCCATGTTTCTCACCCTCAGCTATAGGTATGGAATTAGTATTCTGCTTTTCCATCCTGCAACTGCATCAAAGGTAACTGAGCAAAGTTTAATTAAAATTCTAATTACTTCTTTATATTCCAGCAAAGCAGAACAAATCCCCAGCTTTGCTCCTCTTTGGAATGACAACTGGAGAATAAATATTCACCTACAGCATGGTGGCTGAGCCATTGTTTGGCCAGTGGGCTCAGTGGGTTCCCAGAAAAGCTGCAATCCAGAGCAGTATAAAATCTGTTGGAAGGACCCTCACTGCTGTCTCCTGACTGGCCATATGAAAAATTGCATTAAAAGATTAACTTTTTTTGGAGTTATGGTATCTCACAGGATGAATTTCCTGATAGGAAGCGGATATTTTTTTCCTTGGAGTGGGAATCATCAATGCTGAGCACTCCAGGAGATCTGTGAACAGCTACTTCAACCCTGAATGTATTTATATTATGACCTTTCACATGTTTAAGTTGCCTGGCTGCAAACATAAACACACAAACCCCTAAAGATCCTGCTCCTATAGGAGAGATGGTCACAAATATCTGCTCTAGTTCACGAAAGAAAATTTTATATGTGGAAAAAGTACAAGATTTCTTCCCTGGTTTTCAGAATTTTGTTTCTCCTCACCAGAGACCAGATTTGGTCTAATTTAAGACTCGCGTTTTTTTCACGGTGCCTGCTTTGTGGTGGTGAGTGTTCTGCTTTTTTGACAGCTTTGCAGTACAAAATAGTTCCCTCAGAGCTTTTCTGATTGGCATTACCACACCCAGCCACAAGCACAGCCCTCCCTGCCCAGAAGGTGCTGGAAGACACACAGGGGTTAGCTCTACTTACCAAGAGGCATTACTACAAAAAATGGGAGCCAGCAGAGAACAAAGCATCCCACAACTATTCCCAGGGTCTTGGCAGCTTTCTTTTCCCTGGAGAACTTGAGCAGGCGCACAGAGAAGTGGTGCTTGCTCTTGGGGTTGGGTGCAGATCCGCTTGCACCACGTATGTTTTTGCAGTGGATGCGGAGGGTCACCTCCTCGGAATGGGATTTCTCTGTTTTCAGCCCAGAGGTCAGCCCTTTGTTTTCCCTTTTGGCCACCACATAGACCCGGCAGTACATCACCAGGATGATGATCAAGGGGAGGTAGAAGGAGCCCAGCGCTGAGAACAAGACGTAGCCAGGCTCCTCGGTGATCTGGCAGATAGTCTCATCCTCTGGGGCTGGCTCCTTCCAGCCAAAAAGGGGCCCAATAGAGATGACCAGGGACAGTGCCCAGACACACAGCAGGGCCAGGAGGCCCCTCCTCTCTGTCACTATGCTGGGGTACCTCAGTGGGTAGCTCACCCCGATGTATCGGTCAATGGAGATGATGCAGAGGCTCATGATGGAAGCAGTGCAGCAAAGCACATCAACAGCTGCCCAGATGTTGCAGAAGATCCTCCCAAAGACCCAGTAACCCAAAATCTCCATGGTAGCTGAGAAGGGCAGGACGGTAGAAGTCAGGAGAAGGTCAGCTACAGCCAGGTTGATGATGTAATAGTGGGTGACACTCTGGAGGTGTCTGTGGCAGGCTACGGACAGGATAACCAGGATATTACCCAAAACCCCAAAAACAATCAGCCCCCCTAGAATAACACCCAGTAAAATGGCCTTGGAAATGTTCACAGGCTCCACAGAGTGGGTGCAGTTGGAGCACTCGGAAGAGTTTCCAGGGAGGAAAGCCATGGCTGGTAATGTCCATGTGAGGCTGCTGAACTTCACCCCCTTTCCAGGCAGGAACAGTGACAAGATCAGGAAGGTCCTATAGGCAACATTTGCTTAGCCTTGCTGGGGAAAAGAGTTTTGAAGAATGTTTTAGAACTGCAGCACCGGCAGCAATGAGAAAGATCCAGAAACATATTAGAAAACCTACCTTTGCTCCTAAGCTTTCACCAGAACAACATGGTTGATACTCACAAGTTACTAGTCAAATTTAACTCATTCTGCATTTTCCTTGGCGTGCACAAGTGGGGCTACAAAAACCTGAGGCTGTTTGTCCCACTTTCCAGGGCTATGTGATGAGAAATACTGGAGCTGCAGGTTAAAATAATTTCTGTCTTTTGGGGAAGGTTCTGTATTTAAGGAAAATAAATATTCCAAAGGGTCTCCAATTTAGCTTCTCCTGAGAGGAAATCACTGATGCTTTTAATTGCCTGGTGTTAGTCCTGATTCTGCCTTAAAAATGGCTTAGAAACCTGACTGGGTGGAGGTTGCTGCTGTGTCTGCTCAGCAATTTTGTTTGAGATAGCCATCACTCCCCATCCAGGGTTTAGGCTGTCAGTCAGAGCTTTCCATATGTGGAGCACTCATCAGTTGAGGTCCTGGGATGCAAATTAAAGCTCATATACATCATCTCCTGGCTTGCTCTGAGGGGAAGAGTGGAGTTTGCCGTGCGCATAGGGCCATGCTCTCGTGCTCTCTGCAGATCCTCACCCCCCTGGAGAAGACAAAAACAGGAACAATGCGATTCCCAGAAGCCACACTCGCTGCTAGGGTTCCCATATATGAATAGAGCAGGAGGCTATTTTAGGGTGCTTTCCTCAGGCTGGCTCCAGCCAGTGGAACCAACCTTTTCCAGCCCAGCACTGTTTAACAGCAACTGAGAGATCCAAGTGGGTTTTCCTGCCTGAATTTTCCCTTCTTTATGGGGCTAGGCATCAATCCTAATTATTAGCTCACCTGTAGAGACCAGTTCTAGGAAAGACAGAAGCCTGCAGGACACAATTCAGGACAATACAGACTGTGCAGCAGATTTAGAAGCCCAAAATTTAATCTCAGGTTTCTTTATTAAGTGAGACTTTTCCCCTCTAAAATCTTAGTCCAGCTGAGCTGACAATTTTGAAAATCTATAAGGAAAAGCAACTCCAAAGCCAAGCAGAAGACGTTGCAAGGAGCAAGCCTCCTAGTGAGTGACACAACATTTCAGGGTATCTGGAAGCCAAGCTCAGCCTTTGCTGACTAAATATGGAGAAAAGGTACCTCAGATGGAAAAATGAGGATTAGCCTGGGAACCGAGACCTGGGGGGCACAGAGAGGAGAGCTGCAAGTGGGAGCTGCAAAACCTTTCCCAACATCTCCATATGGATATAGAATTTCCATCCCAAATATTAATCAGAGGTGAAAAACCACCACTAAGACTGTGGCTGTAAAACCCCAGATGAGGAAGGACTCTCTAAGTGTCCTTTGGGATGAGTCCCTCAGATCGCACTTTAAGCAGTAACAACTGTCCCATTTCCAAACCGTCACACTGAACTTTCCTGCAGGAAAAAGCATTTCAAACCCTGAAGCCCCAAAATTCCCAGTTCACAGGCGGGGAGGAGGGGGGAAGGGGGAGATGGATAGGTACCACACTGTGGGTATTTTACTTCAGTACACTAAAATGAAATTGGATCTTATTTTCTTTCCCACCAGATGGAACAAGTTGAGGAATAATCCCAAGGAAGAAAAGGACAGATTATCTAAGCACATACATGAAAAGTGAGTGTTGCATCGAGCATCTCTGAGGATTATAATTGTGATCATTATCAAATAATGCTCAGCCTGTGGAGATAGCTGATGCTGGGAAGAGCAGACCCCAAGCTGCTGTGTCTGCCCCACACCCACCTCTTCAGTCTTCAGAAGGCAGCACAGCTCCTGTGAGCATCTGGGAAGGAGATTCTCAGCACAGCAGGCTCCTCTTTCATGCAGGGATGGGGCTCCGTGCCTGGAAATCTTCTGCTTTGCTCCCTTTATTGCCCCACTGGTAGTACAGCAGCTGGCGGTGGGGCTGATTCCCTGTATCCCGCGGCTGTGAGGGGCTGGCTCCAGGCTCCCTGGAGGGATCCGTGCCCCGTTCCGAGCTCAGCTCCACACTGCCAAGGAGCAGCAGGAACTTTGCTGCTCTGCTATGTAGCAGAGCAGTAGTCTTACCATTACCGTAATTCAATGCCACTCCCGTATTGCCCAGAAAGAAAGAGCACTCCCAAGTGTGGTTTTAAATATTTTCTTCTTTCTTCTTTCTTCTTTCTTCTTTCTTCTTTCTTCTTTCTTCTTTCTTCTTTTTTTTTCCACTCAAACTCCTTCAGAGACCAGAAAGTGGAAGGCAGATAACAAAACTCCTATTCATGAGTTAACACAAAGTTTTTGGGATCTATAAAGAGAATTTCCTGCAGGACAAACAGGTCAAGGAGATGAAGGCAGGACAAACTGCCTGGCGATTCTGCATGGAGGGACAAGGCACAACTGACTGGAGAGGGGGGTTTAAGGAGGAAATTCCTCCAGCAGAATGTGCTGTTGAAGGGAGGTTGAATTTCACATGGCTTTTAGTTACAGTTTAAAAAAAAAATATTGCCCAAAGTCCCCGATGAAGAACAGATACAAAAGTGATGTCCTGAAGTGAAGGGGACACAGAGTGGGATTTCATACCCAAAGGCCAGCAAACGCTGTAGCCACAAGGAAGTAGATGAACCATGTGCCTATTCTTGCATGACGGATTCTCCACCTCCACTTCCTGGGCAGTAACTTTGAGAGGGAAAGTTTGGGGTTTTGGGTTCAAGAGTTTCACAGACAGAGGTAAATTTAAGTAATGCTCAGATTCCCCCAGGAGAGTACTGAAAGCAGATCTGCGCTCGTCAGCAGCCCTGATCACTGGTCCAACAAATTCAGAGTGCCTGCTTGCTTCCAGGATAGCCATTGCTACTGGAGGAAAAATTTAAAAAGCAGCTCCCAGGAATGTGCAATTTGTGCAGGTTGGGCAAAGAGTTTCAGACAGTGTAGTCACCCTTGTGGCAGCTCCAGCTACACCATGCTGTCTGTTTGAGAGTAAAAAACCCCATGAGAAGAAACAGCGAAGTAAGGGGGCGAAAAAAAAAAAAAATTCAAACTGATTTTGAGGAACTTGCAAACTGCAAAACTGAGGTGCTTTCTAAATGCTCAACTGCTGTTTCTCCACAGTTTTCTTGCCACATGCAGTGCCTGTTTTGTTGTGCATCTACAGAAGGTAGATGGTTTTTGGAGGCTGCTTGGAGGTCTCTTCCTTCCCTGAGTAACAAAGGGTGCTGGAAGAGAGCAAACCCTAAATGGATGAAGGGAATCCTGAGTTACTAAAGATGCTTAAAGGCTGTGATTCAGCAGGCTTATTTTAGATGCCTATCTATAGATGAGGCAACACAGTTTCCATCGATTCATTGGGAAAGGAGTCTAAATGACTGAGGGGAGGTAAAGGAGCTGAACCCCACTCTGGGTTTTGTTTCTACTGGTACATAGGCCTTGCCATACTGGTAGTTTATTTCAGGCTCTTAAATGCACCATGGAAATAAATACATTTATATTTATGACTTTTGTCATTAATATACTCAATATATCAGCTCATCTGTGAGCAATACCCTTGTTATGGGACATCTCTCCAGAGTGGAGGGAAGCAGAAGGAAGCAACAGCAGATTTTCTCCTAAAATCCTCAGAGAAAAATGAATTTATGGCAGTGAAGAGCTCATACACCTGGAGACCACCAAGAGCCTGAGGTCAGGAGGGTCATTAAACACAGGGCAGGCTAGTTATGTGACACTAACCTGCCCTGTCCAGGCAGGGATGGACAGGGCTGGTTAGCGTCACATCAACCTTGGTGAAGCAATCTTTGTGCTTGGCTCTGGCAAGACGTGCTGGAATTGTCTGTGTCCAGTGGAAAAGTTTCGGATTAATCAAAGTTTGGGAGAAAGCAGTGAGAGAGATGCAAATCTACAAAACAAAAGGAGGAGCTATTTAATCTCAAACTTTGCACCTCTAAAGACAGATGAAAGCTTGTCCATGGGGTTCTGAGTATCCACCACTGGAATTTTGTAAGAACATATTAGGCAAGGATCCATGACAGGGTTTTACTCGGATTTCATCCTCTATTGAGAAAAGAAAAACTGTCCCCTGGTGTTCACAGTGTCACTGAATAGTTTGGGTTGGAAGGGACATTTAAAATCATCTAATTCCAACCCAAAGTTATGTGCCACCAAAAATGATTTTCCAGACAGAGGCAGGTTTCTGAGTCATGTAAGGAAGGAACAAAGTCCTGGATGAGCTTCTTATTCCATCTTTGATATTTGGCAGGTCCATTTCTGGGTGTATCTTTATCTGTGACATAGAGGAAATAATGCTTTTGTCCTCTTTCTCTTAGTCATTTGGATTTCAATCCTTCTGACTAACATTTGTACCTGACTCTGCCCAGTTAGCATCCACAAACCAGATCCTGTTGTTAATTATGCTCATTAGCACGAGTGGATCCCTAGAGAGAGCTCCTGGCAATCCACAGCTGCTCAGCTGTTTCTGAGCTAAAAAATATTAAAACCAGAGCCTTAAACCCTGAATTTTGGGCAGCATTTGTGTTTTCATTAAAAATATCTCATCAAAAGGCCTGAATCTCACTGTTTGTGTGTCTGAAGGCATTTGATGAAGTGTCATTGGTAATCTGCTCAGCTCAGTGCCAGACCATGCAGGCAGCTGGACCAGGAGTAGAGGAACTTCTCTGAGGTGCTTCAGGCCTTGAAATGACTATTTACTTGCCCAGAAAGAAGTGAAAAGGGTTGTTTTGATGAATCATCCCTCAGATTTTAGTGAGGGTTCGACTTCTGTTTGAATAAGAAAGAAGACCCACCCAAAGGCAAGAGATGTTAAATGTTGTCTATTAAACCTGAAGCTGGACTCATTCCGCTGTCTTTTAGGA